TGAGACAGTAACCGCTTCAAGCGTTGCCTAGACAACATCCTGCCTACCAATTGGGGCAAATGATGTGTGAAGGTCTGGTGATGGCCAATGGGTTGGCTTGTTTCTCCGGCCGTGCCATCAGCGAACCGATCGGCAGCGGCATTGGACGCTACTGGGACGTGTTCAACATTATGCCCAGGCAATCATTAGGCCCTTTGAAGGGATTTCATAAATGCCATCAATATGGCATCATGAAGAGGACATTTCGTCCAAGCGGCTCGGGTCCGTTTGGCGTCCGAGCACTTTCAAGCCACGTGTGGGTCTTTCAAACCTTCATCATTGAAGTTGAGGCGGCGATCGACACCTCAACCCTATGGATCCAAATTCTGTTTTTTCTAGGCCTTTGGTGATAGATTGATTTGCATCAAACGGAATTTGGATTCATAGGGTTTCACCCCAGTAACCCCTTTTAATGGAATAGGATAAATAATTTCACCCACAGCATGTAAAGGAATTGATGTAACCATATGAGATCTCTACCCCAACATTAATAATAATATACCTCCATAAGTTAATATATAGATTGGAAAAGTAGATGAAATAGCCATACAGGGAGGACCTTGTATGTATAAAACAGCCATACAATTTGGACACCAAGCCGGAACATTACCACATATGTGCCCAGATTTGGCCAAGGCACACGCATTGTCTCATCAATGGTAGATCGGGGAACTGATAATCTTCAGACAGATGTTGCAGGAAATCTGCCATCCAAGCCACACAAACTCTGGCCTCAGATGTGGTTCATCTAATGGATGAAGATGATAATTGTTTTTTTAGTTGATAAACTGCATAAAAACGGTTCTTGGAAAATATAGTCCCCAATAATGCTTTCCATGGTGCATTCCAAGCTTTGGACTGAAGTTCAGGGTAGGGATGCTGTCGGCTGGTGATAGACTTCGTGCTAAATTTTCCCATTGAGTGCCTGGGGTATGGCAGCAATAACCCACAAGGAAATTATATATATATATATATATGCACTTGGTTAGGACAAACCCCAAAAAAACATAAATAAAACAAACTAAAGTCACAGCTGAATGACTGCCACTTGTTCTCTCGGGCCCACTGCTTGAATTCAAGCCAGCCATTTAGAAGACGATCATCATCACAGCCATCTCCCCAAACACAGGTATCCAACAGTAATGTTTTCAGGGAATTTCCAACAATCCATAGGTCACAACCTAAATGAATAATGTGCATCGCACACCACCGGATCATTGCAATCTGGAATTGCGGCACACGAAGTAAAGGACCTGCATGGCAGGATTTTTCATGTAGCTACATAGCTATATATAACTTACTCATATTATAAAGATAACAAATCCATAAAGTTGTGGCATAGATTCCTCTGGTTTTCTGGGGTGTAACAATTAAAACAAAAATGTTGCACCAGCACCAAGTAACACACAGGGCCTGGTTTCAGACCTTCATTGAAAAACTCTTCCAAGGTATACCTTTCGCTATTCAGATTGCGCACCATATATGTAGACTTGTGAGCTCTGCATCCATGACAGATTAATGTACATTGGAAGAAGTTCTTCAAATTGAGCCATTCCTAGACAGGGGGGAAAAACACATTGATCGGTAGTAAATATCAATTAGACTTATGATGGGTGAAAGAAAAGGTTCAATACCATACCCCAATGCAGACTAGAATCCTTTTGCATCTTCCAATCACCCCTAATCATTACAGTGATGCAGAACTTCTGGGTCTGGTTCTTGTGCTGGATACCAGTGTCGTAAAGTACCCCAAAGGATTTGACCACCTCAAATGTGGGATTTCAGCCAACAGGGTCAGCCAGTCAGGTCAGATGCCATGGATTCAACTACCACTGCCTAGGAACTAGGACTATTATAGCTAGTTTCACTGAGAACTAAAAGATATTATATAATATGTTAATCACAAGTGGTGGTATTTGGATCCAAACATAGCCTACTGTTTAAGTTTAAGATTCCATATGATTTGACCAGATTCGGTTGTTCACCCATCGAAGGCCAACACTACATTGCCACTAAGCAATGAAGCTAGCTTGAGGACTCTGGGTGCGGCCAAGGGGCAGGATCCAAGTAAGCATTCAAGGTCGGGAAACCACAGCTCATTTCCTGAGCGTGATGGGTTGGAACACTTTTTTTTGGGGGTATTGTCCTCTATTCCATTTTTTCTGGGTCATTGTGGGAAAAATGCAAATACTTCCAAGATTCTTCCCTGCACAACACCAAGGGGAAACACTTCTTGATGGAGTCCGTTTCATCATCCAACACACTCCCAAAGCATATCACAATGATGTTTTGGTCTTTGATGTAGTTGGCTGCATCCGCCCAAATCCAAAGAGGGTGATGACTACCATCCGGGGAAACATTGGCTATTTCAGATCTCACATCACAGAGGTGGTTCCAGTAGCGAGTGATTTTTCTCTTCGGTATATCAGGCCAAAGGTTACGATCCATCAGCCATGGGATGATCTCTTCAGGGATGATGTGAGGCATTTGCCTGGATTCCATTAAAGGCTCCCCATATCGATTTAGTTTGGTGGATTTTTCATACTAGCAGCACCCCCAAAAAAAAAACTGATCAACAACTTACCCTAGACACTTGGGAATTTCATCCCATCCATCATCTCCATAGTCCCAAAGCGGCACACTAGTCCAGGAAATTGGAGCCTTAGGTGGAATGTTTTCCCCACTTCCCCAATGATAGAAAAAAATCATATATCTTTCAGGGATGAAACAACCAAAACAGAAGATACAAACTTTATATTAAATCTTATATTTGAAAAAAACATATTGATAAAACATAAGCAAAACCTTACTCTATTCCCATTGGTTGCATATGCATATATATATAATATATTGATCATATATATATATATATATTAATATATATATATATTTCCCAAAGCCTTGAAAATTCACCAGGGTACCCGATGGTCGAATTCCATATCACCCATTTGACGAAACCAGTCACGCTTGATGTTGTTTGAATGGCGCCCCCCGGCACCAGCTCCAAATAAAGCTGCAGCTGGTCCCCTCATTTGGCATCCCTGGAATTCGAATTCCTGCACGGGATGAACATTCACACATGAAATGCCCAAATAGGCCAAACAAAAAAGTAAGGTTCATTCTCGATTCCAACACCTTAAATCATATGAATCCACCATCCATCAAATAGGCCAAACAAAAAAATTAGGTTTATTCTCGATTCCAACACCTTAAATCAGATGAAACCACCATCCATCATGCAGGGAATATCAGCTAATCTCAAAAGACTTGGCTAGCAGTCCTTGCGCACACAGTTCACGATCTCATGGGCTTTGCGGTAGGAGTCCTCAGATTACACATTAATGATCGGGTTCAGTGCATCCTTTTGGTTGCATGCAAAGTATCATGTGGGTAGTTTCTTGTAAAAGTGATTAGGTTGGATCACCAGGGCATGGCTAGAGCAACTTCTTTTACCCATTAGCATCTTACTTGTTGATTCCAAACCATGTCAGCCAAGGGTCGCTGCCCAAGCCACTCTCTTGCAGGACGTATGAAGTCAGCGGTGAAGTTTTGCTGCTTGGTTTCAATGCACCTGCGTGGGAAGTTGATAGTCATAGTCGTAATGGATGTGTGTAGTAAGAATTGGGATAATTGATGTCAACATCAAACATCCCTCTAATAATACAGGGTCACACACATTTCCCACTATTGGCACCAGTAATATAAAATGGGGGTATGATCCCTGTAGGGTATCCCAGGGGCAACCCATGATCCCACCAAGATTCAAATCATATCACATTTTTTTGTTCAGAGGCATCGGGCCAAATCCGAGTCGAGACACACCATGTTTAATGGCTCAGACATCCATATGTGCATGTAGGTGTTTTCACCTGTGACATCCCAAACAATCACACCAATATTGGCAAAAAAAAATGTAGATTGGAATGATTTGGGCAACACAAAGGTGAATGACACCTATTGATGAAATCCCATCATGTGGTGGTTCTTGTGGGTGATCCAATTAGTGGGCAGCTAAGTGGTGTGATTGTATACCCCAGAGCCATCCTGAAGATTTCAGCAGCTGTGCGAACAGGGCTCTGGCCCATAATCTTTCCAGTGGCACCAATTGGGAAAGATCATCGTGGAAACTATATCTGGCTATGTCAGATTCAGGCCTAGGGTGAAAATGCCCATGGAAACCATGAACCCGGCGGGCCAAGACAGAGGGCTTGGAAATTTCTGATCCTGGTGATCCCCATTGCGACATTTGTGATCCTGGTGACTACCGACATTGGCCCTTGAAGATGAAACCAGCAACTTGCAAAGAGCTGGAAGGGCGTGAATCCTCTACGAGTTTCCACACTCTAGGAATTCCAGGAATTCCAGATCGACTTGAGTGGTGACGCAACACAATGGTCATTGCCATCGAGATCTTCGTTGCACTGTTGATATAATTGATCGATATAATGAATTATATGCGCTATATAGAACTACCCTTGGATTAACATATTTCTTGGCCTATATTGTTTCAGGGATACTGTAAATAAAAACAATATATGAATATGTTCGGGTCAACATATAGTACCAAATGGAAAGCACCCCTTGATGACATAATAATATAATAATCATAATATATATATCGATAAATAATTAGGTAGCCCTTGGGTTCAAGAATCAATTTCAAATGATTGTAATTCACATTGGGACCGAAACCCGCGCACAGCCTCAAACATCTAACGCATAGTGGCTAAGTCTCAGCTCTTTGGCCTTGAGCATGCCATCGATTGGCAAATCGGATCATCATGTTTGATTTTCAGGCCAACATGTTCAAAATAAACTGGTATCCAAGAATGAAGTTAATGCACAATTGGATTGGATAATGATTTCTCCGGTGGTATGATTTTAGAAAATAATTTTCCCTTTGGCCCCATCAAAATTTGCACCCCGGCCGGTGCTTGCTTTGGAGGCAGCTGAAGCAACACTTAAGCCGCAGCAGCTTTTGCTTTGGCCTTGGCCTTGGGCTCACGTTTCGGCTGTGGATCCTGGGATCAGGCAAGCATAGGAGGGAACCATAGAAACTATTCCACTCTATCCCCATAACATTCTTTCTGGATTATGCTCACCTATTTTTTTGGACAAACAAATGTAGAAAAAATAGTGAGTCCAGATTCGATCGACATCTTAATGGTCTTAATCGTCCCATTGAATGAATTGAAGGCTGATTCAATGGCCGCGATGTTGGTAGTGATCTCATTGACAAGTCCCTGGTCTTCTTGGAGCTGCTGTTCGGTCTTCCCAAGGGTTTTTGCATATGAAGTTTCCAAAGACGTCTTGGCATTCGAGATTGCTTCTTTGCGGGCTGTAAGCTCTGATTTGAACCCATTGAGTAAGGTGGCCGACCTAAGTGACTTGATAGAAACACATATTTCTTGGTGATTTTAAAGTATTTTTTTTCAGGGTTATGTGGTCTCCTGCCAATAAACACATATGTGAAAAGGAGAAAAAATAGTACAGCAAGAAATCGAAGATGAGATACAGCACAGTGTTGTCAGTGACTTTGGCCTCCCAAGCCATTAACTCAGTCAACTTGGTGGAACTTGAAGAGATCTTGTTTGTGAGCTGCTTGGACAATGGGACAACCTTTTTGGGTTTTTCCACCGGGGCTGGGGGGGATCCACCAGGCACAGCCCCTCCAGGCTGCAATCCCAACCCAGCCGATTGAAATCGACCAATGTCACCAGCAACTGCAACTTGCCTTGGCTGTATAGCTATGAGATGACACAGGGTAAAGTCACACAGGAAGCACATAGGCCATGATGCTAGCAGGACCAGGATCGGAACATGTTAGACCAATCCCAAACACACAGGCCCTGTGGTTTTCTTTTGTCAAGATACATGACCTGTCTGGTCTGTGATGCATCCAACTCCCCAGTGGCCGAAACACCCATTGTCAAATCGTCGGAGACCTCGTCCTCATAGACCATGGAGTCAAAGACACGAACCATCTCGTGATCCTGACAAATCGGAAGGGGTTGGAAAACACAATGCCATGAGGAAAATGGTCCAGTGAAATGTCCTAAGGTAGACAGCTTGAAAGCATACCTGTTCCTAAACTACCCCCACAAGACCCTTATGCACCACCAGGCCTCATGTGGAATGTCTGGATGCTTCATCCAGTATACCACAGGGTCTGATGGATCCTTCTTGTCCTCCATCTCCTTCTTCTCCTGAAGGATCTGCTTGGCAATTCCATTGCCATACCGGGCTTTCAACACCTTCATCTCCAACATCACGTATTTGCCACGTCGACGTTGTTGCAAGGATCGGCTTGCATTGCAGACCAAGCTAGAACGCATCCAGTCCTCCCCTGCACTCAACCATTGCTCGAACAACTCGGCAATGATCTGCCGGTCTTAGTTGTCAAAAAACTCACATTGAAACATGTTCTTTTTCAAAAACACATATATATATAATATATATAATGATCAGCAATTTATATTTATATGTTATATTATATATATATTTTTTTGTTTTATAAATGTTTATTGGCAGGACAGGCTGGTCAATTCCAAGTAACTGTGGCGTCTGCCCTTTGCTTTCTCCAACACAGCCGGGGGCAAACGATTGCCTAAGTCAGTGTGGGTGTGGTTGATGAACATGATATGTAATTGGATTGAATGATATATGGAACCCGATGGAATCTTACAACATCAAACAAAGCCATATATTCATTGGAAATATAAATGCTTCACCCAAGACAACTACCTCCAGTCCTATGGATCAACATATTTTCTGATGATAAATCTATCCCCAAATCATACCCCAAACATTGCATCAGAAAAGTACTTGGATCCATAGGGGGTGATGAATAGCAAAGACATGGTTCTGCTCAGCGAACGATGAAATCTCATCTTCGCATTGATGGCAAGTCGATGCTCATGTTCCTCTTGGGTTTCAATCCTTCCCCCAGGTCCTACATAGGTCACTTCATCCTCACGGGTTGTCGATGTCGTAGTTGCCGTCAAAGTTACCTGGGAATTCAGATCAGGTGTGTTAAGGTAAACATGTGGTTCGATTAGTTGTAAACATTTGTTCCACTAAGGTTCTGTTGGAAATGGTCCCCATGAAACATACACAATTTGATCTAGTTTGTTGTAACTATGGTGCTCTCGATGCCGCTTTGGCCATGGCTTCCAACTGGGTGGTATCCTTGCGTAGCATCAAAGTAGCTTTGGCAACATCATGTTGGGCTGCTCCCGGAGAAAGAACTTTCTGATGATTGTCATCCTACAGGGCTTTGCTATGCAAAATAACCATATGGTCTCAACTACGATTTTCTGTGAAAATGATTGGCTTTCAAACAAAACAGTACCGGCCGAACATATTTGCCTTTTCAGGTATTTCATTTTTGAATTCTAAAAAAATGATGTTTTTTTGATTCCAATATCGTTTGAAATCCTGACCTCGCACCCCTTGTAGTTCATGACATCCCTATGGTCAGCCAATCGCTGGTTGAGGTCAGCATCAGAAGTCGAAGAATCTGCAGGAGCCTGCAGGGCACCAGGCAGTTTGGTTGGGTACAGAAATCATGGCTGGGCAATGTGTGGTTTGAACCTCATCAATAAATTTTCTATCAAGTAACTGGATGAGTAGACTGGGACTCCAAAATAGCTTCCAGCTCACCAAAGAGCTCTGGGTCAACACCGGGAGATGGTTCAGAGAAGTTGCGTTTTTCCCACACAGAAAAGGCCAGTTCAACCATTGCACGGATTTGGTCGGTGCAATCATGCTCACTACGCTTCCAATCATCCACCACACACTGGTACGCCTTTTCTACCAACTGGGTCTTGTTGGATTTCCAAACCAAAATGTTTTCCTTGTTGACCTTGAAGAGTGGGGATTCCTCAGGGCTAGTGCCACCAAAATCCTTGACCTTCTTGAGCTGCAAGTCAATCATGGCATCCGCTGCAACTGCAATCTTCGAAAGTTCGGTTGAACGTGCCTTGTTTTTCTCCTGCATGATCTGTTCCTTCTGTTCAGCTATGCTTCTAAGCTTGACAGCCTTCTCACATGCCTCCTTCATGAAAGGGTCAATAGAGTCAATGTCACCATTGTCAAGACGAGTGTCCAACCAATGGGCAGTGGGGATAAGGAGCTGATCAACTGCTACCTCCTTATCAGGAATGTCTTCGAACAAACATTTCCAAAGGGCCTGGTTATACTTACCATCCACTGCCACATCAGCTTCCACGGGGTCAACATGGCCCAAGGGAATCGTGCTCTGAGTTTCCAAGCTGCGTAAGCTAGGGCGATCATCACCATTCGATCCATTCACAGTGCTACCTGAGCCGGCCAGAGGGCTGAGAAAATGCATTTAAATTTATCTGGGCCACATAAGAGCTAATGGTTTATATTAATAATATATATATATAATATATATACACCATGTATTATATTTATAATATTAAATATATCTTATGATTAATATATATATATATAGGGCTACTGTGGGTCGTAATCTTGGCAAGATACCATCCGGTGGGGAAGTCACACCATTTGGAGATGTCACCTTGGCATATGCACATGTAAAAATGCACAATCGATTTGTTTTTTTTAATGTATTATTGTGTAAAGCTAAGAATTTCAGTCAAAGAACCTTGTCACTCATCCCAGGAGATGCATCTGCAAGTGTAGGAGCTACAGATTGGGACCCAGCGCCACTTCCACTAGGAGCTATTTCACCACCAGATGCCAACCCAGCAGCATCCATATCGGCGCACAGGCTCCTTCGAATTGCAAGCCCCTCACCATGCCGAGGCTCAGCTGCTTTGGGTTTTTTCTGATCTGGGCTTTTCACTGGGGTGAAGGACGTCGGGGGAGGTGGCTTGACCAACTCAACCTTCTCAGATTTCACCAAGCTGGGACCAGTCAAACTAGTCTTCTTTTTGGGTGGAACAGCCATAGTTGGCACCGCCCGGGCAGGAGTAGCAACAGGCTTCGCGCCTTAACAAAAGTTTGTTCCAAAATGTGTCAACATAAAAAAAACAACTGAAATCATTGTGATATGAATCCAGTTCAATGAGTAAAAACTCAGGGTGGCACTGGGTGCAGTCAGTTTCATTTGCAACCGTTGTTCAAGATTTGCCAGCTCGTCATTGGCACTGAAAGAATCAAGGGAAGATGATGACTGCGAACGGTCCTTAAGTGTTGGAATGCAACAGAAAATCAGTATCCCAAACACCAATCATATAAATGTTTTCCCCATATAGTTAGTTATCTCCAGAAATATACAAACCCCCAGGCATTACTGCCAAGATTCATAGGGCGAGGGCCGACTCTTTGCAGCTGTAGGCACTGCAGATCCAGACTTCATCGAGATCCAAGGCTGCTCAAACGGAGTAGTCAGCCACCTGTGCCACGGGCTGGGGAGGGTCGGAACCCCAAAAATCCACAAAATCCGAAAAATAAAAATGACGCAAAATAACGCTAAAATAACGCCTAAAAGTCTCTCATAACGGTATCGTAACGCAAAATAACGCGAAAATAACGCGTGGTTTTTTTCAGCCACTGGCCTCCAAAAGCCAGAGGTGCACCCAAAAAGGACTCTTGGGCCAAAAGGATAATTGTTTTTTCTATTCATATGGGACCCAGTCATCCAGATCCGAATGGTTCTACCAGCATTCCAATGTATGAGATCAATTTCCTGTGGCGAATGATTTATTTTGCCAAAATTGTGAAAAAAGTGATCGGGATAGTCATTTGATTGATTCCCAGTGTATCCATGTAGAGATATGTCATTCGTTGATGCCAACATTTCAGCTCAGAATATGTACACCAAAGAACCCCATATGATAAACAATTCCCCATAACAATAGCAAAATCCACAGGATCGATGTTCAATGGTTCCCAGTATATATCCTAGCAAGCAGGTATGAATGGGAGATCACACATAATTTGGGTTGAATATATGTTTGTTATTGTACTCTGTATTAGCTAGCATGGGTTGGATGAATTGGTCAGAAGACAATTCTGAAAGAAAACGAGTAGATCACAATTTGAAATATTATTTGTGAAGTGATACCTATAGGAAGTGTTTGGACCCAGTAATGGTTATCAAAACTGAAAGACCACACACAATCCCATTTGCAACAAACATCCCCGAAAGAATACCCTGAATCAACCAGTTTCACTGGATACGAGGTGTTGTGTTGATTGAAGAAAATGTGGAAAGCTTTGAAACTTCATTTCGTTGGGATTCAGCAATTGCCTAGTTTTTTTTTCCTCCGGGTTCACATATTTAAGGTGTTGTGTTGCACAAATTGGCCCTGTGGCAGGTCCACAAGGTAGTCTGTGAATTTTGAACTTCACAGCAACAGTTGTTGTTCAACTGGGCCTAATGACTCGAGTCAAACCCACCAGAACAAGAATGGCAATAGCAGGTAAAGGCCAAGTCAGTTGTATATGATTTGATAGTATTAATTATGTGGTTATTAGTTAGCATGTCGATTTTGATCTTGGGGGATTTCACTTATCACCTGCCATCACCCTTCTTTATCCAGGCGAGCTTTCAACTTGGCAAAAGCAGTTGGGGAAGGCTCGATCTGAAAAGGGACATCAGGATCTACTTGGTAGCCCCCATGCCGTGCTGCGTAGGAGGCAAGATCAAGTAGACTTCGAAAATTCCCATGAGTCCAATCACAGCCAGCTGGTAGGTCCTGCCAAAGAGGCAGAGTCACTATTGGGGTTCAATTCCCACACGTGTAGTAAAATCATGTGGAACATTGTTCATATCACAGACTACTTTTTTTTTACCAGCCCGCATAAATATGATCAATTTTCAAATGGTACAAGTACCAATTCGTTTGTGCCACAAGCACTAGATGCAAAGGCAACATTACTGGGGATCCTTAGAGGGTAAGCTTCCACCATGCAGTGGTGCAGATGGTGTCCTTGTAGCCACCAGAAATGAGGTCAGCTAGATCCACCACCGGTGCATTATCAACCTTAGATTAAACCATGCAATCAGATCAGCCCCTATGGACCCAAGTACCTGCTTAGGAAGTGTTTGGGGCATGATTTGGGAGGTGTGAAGTACCTTCACCATCGGTTAAGATCTATTATCTAGGGTTGGGGTATGCTAGTTTAATTTGTTATTATACTATATTGATCTGATAAATATATAATATATACTACCATAATATATATGGTGCTGCATTTATATAGTAAATAATTTACATGAATTATAAACATATTAAAATTGAAAAAGTTATGATATGCATATGTATATATATTATATGATATATATATATTATTATTTTATGTACAAATTCCCCATGCCTCAACCACAAGTTAACCAAGCCGCCATTGATTCTGCATGAAGTTTTGCAACTTCCCGGCCAAAATCTCGAGGATATGCAGATGACTCCTTCAAGTGGCGACCCCCTGTCCTTGGAAAGCAGGCCTCAAGGCCATGTAACTGGGCTTGGATGAATGGATTACTTGGGATGTCCTATGATAAGTTAGTATTTACGACTTGTGGGTGGGTAGTGTATGGGTTCCCTCATATCACCACTGGATGCAAAACGACTTAAAATAAAGGTGTTCTTTTTTTGTTGGATTTGTTTCTGAATTTTGCCAGAGTACACTTGTTTTTTCTGGGTACCCTTCTTCACACTCTTCTTCGTCATCTCACGGTTTTGAGCAGCAGCACGGATCTTGATCTGTTCACGGTGGGCATGCTCCATAGGACGAAATAGCTTGGGCATCCAACAACTTAGCTCAATGTATTCACATTAAACATTGTGATCATGAGATATGGAATCACCAATCACCAGTCCAAAGAATGCATATCTTGCAACTTATATGTGTGACAAGTTGCCAATTGCCCAGGCCCAACTCCGGCTTTTGGGACCATCCCCCAAACATGCCCATCCACCTGAGATTGTGACGAGGCTGTCTAATGTTTGTGGTTCATAATCAAGGGATTAGGTCACATCAAAAATCAATAAGATGCATTGTCATATCAATTCGACCTGCATTCCAAAAACAAATATACCTTCGAGATTGAAAAAACGATTATGTGTTGTTCTAATGACTTCCAATTTGGGTCTCTGTTTTGTAAGCAAATAAGCAGTCCACCAAAAGATGCGCTGTGGTTCAACTTGGGTGAATGACATCAAATGCATCAGGTAGGGGAAGACAACTGCCATTGAACGATCTGGTTGTTCAAGAAAGAATCGTAGCCTTCTGCAAATAGACAAAGCCAATAGACATACCATTCTTGTCGCCAGGATATTTCCAGAAATCACAAAAGGGAAATGCTGACACCCAAAAGGTGAACCAGCTGTTCGTTGGTGTTGGCCCCGTGCCATGAACGCAAAGGAATTACATGGCAATCCCCAAAACGAAAGTCCTCCTTCTTTGACTCGAAGTAGTTGCCGTATGGCAAAGAGGAAGCCAGTGTCAGTAAGCAGGTTGTGAGCACAGCCATCCATCAGGATATCAACACCCTGCCTTATGCATGGGCTGGGCAAAGGGACCATGCTAATTCACATTGATGAGTTCAAAAAAATCTAGAGCTGAGAAGTGATCACATATGCACAACTAAAAAAAATGATTTGGATTGAATGTTGATAATGCCCCATGCGTTTCAATTTGATAGATCCAACCCATAATTTGCTCACAAGTCGAGATATGTTTATTGTCCACACTGGGTTGCCTCACCAAATGCCTAACATCACAAACCACATTCCCGAGCTGTTCCCACATACCAAGTTGCGCTGGCAGGTCAAAGTCACCTCAGAGAAGTGCAAACCCCCAATGACATGGGATGGATGGAAGGGCTGGTGGCAGTAGGATAAACATTTGTTGAGATATGTTGCATTTAAATTGCATCTACATATGTGTATTATAAACTATATTAATTTGTTTTATGAATATGCCATCATTAGTATATATTTATAACATTATGTTTTCAATATATATTATATATATAGGTTGGTAAACCATATGGGGTATGATCTGGGCTATCTTTTTACCTTATATATTATATGGGATAAAAGGGATATCTACACCGTACATGTTTGGTGTGTTTTTATCAGGCCAAGACACGAAAGCCCTTCACCACACTCGAACATCCAGCGAAGTATTCCAAGCAGTATAAATCCTGCATGCCAAACACATAGAAGGGGCCAGGAGTTGTTGTTGGGTGTAAACAAAATTGAAAATATCAAAATGGACATGACCCCAAACAGACACACTGCCACATGTAATCTTTCGTGGTCATAGGCACACATGCTCCCAAGAATTCGGTCCCTGGTGAGCTCCCCATCAATCGTGTGACTGACAAAGTCCACAAGATGCAAACTCAGATCAGATAGTGCATGTACATACATGCCCATGCATGGAATCACTTTTATTTATTCACAAACTTAAGAAGTCTCATTGCATATGCACAGACCCTACCAAAATGCAGGCCAGTAGCAAGAGTGGCGGTACGCCTAAACACAAAAGTGCACAGCTTTGCAGCTTGCTCAGCCGGGTAGAGGACAAGTTCCGCGCATGCGGCATGGCTGGATAGGCTAGAGGCTAAAAGATGTTTTTTGATCCCTATTAAGATACTGGTATATATTTAATAAATATTAATAATATATATATATATATTTATATATATAATATAATTTAATATATATAATGTATATTTTTGTTGATGCCGTTTGGTATGGTTTTGTGTCATTTGAAGTTGTTATATACAGATTTGTAGAAGTATCTATCCATCTAGCCGTTTTTGTGCTCAGTTCGAGCCATCCCCATACTGCGACATGCAGCACGATTTCAATTGTTCCCACCACCTTTTGACAATGATTTGTGTTTGATATGTTTTATGGATCCCGGTTTGAATTTCACCTATGGGGTCGAGACCCTCATTTTGTACCAAAGTCTCAAAATTCCTAACCTCAGCCATTATAAAATGATGGTTCTCAACCTCCAGAGGATTACGGAAAATGACAACATGATATTGCTACAAAATGAAGATTGGTTTTTATCATGAGGTTACTTGAAGGGGAAATTCCACCACTACAAAATGACGGTTGGTTTTTATCATCAAGTTACTTGAAGGGGACACTCCACTACAAAACGAAGATTGTTTTTTTTTAATGTTTTTATCATCAGGTTACTTGAAGGGAACACTTCAATACTACAATATGAAGATTGGTTTTTATCATGAGGTTACTTGAAGGGGAAATTCCACCACTACAAAATGAATATTGGTTTTTATCACCAAGTTACTTGAAGGGGACACTCCACCACTATAAATGAATATTGGTTTTTATATGTTTTTATCATCAGGTTACTTGAAGGGAACACTTCCGAAGGGCAACTTCCCTTGCTACAAAATGAGATTGGGTTTTTACATGTTGTCTTCCGATGGGCAAATTCTCTTGCTACTAAATGGCTTTCGATTTTTAAAGGTCTTTCAACTACCGAAACGTTGACAACTTATAAAATGCAATTCCCAAGCTGTGGGTACAAAATGCCTGGCCCATCCCCATTTTTTCATCTTAATTTAATCCCGGAAATGTCCTTGAAACGGGGCACAAGGCTTCCCATTCTGTAGTTGAAATTCGAACGGGAATTTTTATGGTATGTTCACCAAATCATATGATGATTCATATATATACATGTTCGCAATCAGCTCGATATGTTGATGTGGCACTCCACCCCATACTTTGGGATCCACATGCATCATGCTCTGATGAATAAAAACAAATATCATATAACCAGTGTGTTAAAGACACAATTATTTATATATGCAAATTTAGGTAAGGCCCCATACATTCAGAACCAAATACCCATATGGGGATCCCCCAAACCATCGGCGAAGGGTGGTTTGCACCTCTAGAAGAATGCCGGCATTCACCACCACCTGGACACAGGGGGAAGTTGAACACTAGGCCACAAACACCAAGGTACACCCAGATTATCAAAAGGAACATATGGGTTAACCACTTCCATATGATTGGTGCAAACCAAAACCTACAAAATAAATCACATAGATGAAGAAATCATCAGATGCCAGGTTGAGGTTGGCAATTACTTTAGGTTGACATGTCCATCACCCACCAGCTCCCCCAAAGCTGCCTGCTGAGTCATATGGATGCGATCGTGCCGAAGAAGAAGTACCTGGAGCAGAGGACAGCAGAATCACTTGACCCCGGGTTCATGAGTTTAAAGAATTAATCACAATACCAGGTTCCCCAAAATAGATACTGCACCAACATAAGATCTGAATTCATGTAATGAAAACATTGCCGTAGATTCGATCCCAACTAAAGGGTGAAGAAAACAAGAATGAATAAATTGCATTTCACCACCACTTTACCTCAATTGGATTTCTTGTTGGGTGATTCAAATCCACAATCATATTATATTTTCAACCAAACCCCAACCCACAGCGATCCAAAGAAAGTAAAGGGTGAAGGGTAAAAAAAAATGAACCATTGCATTCCATCACAACTTTACCACAATTGGGTTTCTTGCTGGGTGATCCAAATCCACATGATTTTTTTTTCTCCACCGGGCCCCAATCACAGCGATCCAAAGAAAGGTTTTCATCATGCCTCAACAATCATTTTGTTTTGTGTTGATTCTCTGAATGGTAAGATGATCAAAAAATGCAGTTTGTCAATCATAAACATGAGGCAATCGGATCTATACCTTGCTGATGAAATTGCAATTGCTAAGTGTCACACGTCAATTTGCTGAACGTGTGTAAACAAAGCTCCAAGCACACTCTAGCATACAAGCTGCAGATAAGATATTACTTGAATCAATTGAATCAATATGTGGATGTGGTCCAAATTTGAAAAGCCTTTGTGTGCAAAGATTCGGCACGATTCCTGCCGGCTGCTAAGACCAGCGAATCCATTGCAGCATTTCTGCAAAGACTCATGTTTCAAAAAAAGAAGATAGCCATTCAGTATGGCATCGACTCTATAGACAGAATCATCGGTCAAGCAACAATTTCTGCCATCCACAGGTTTGTCAAAGTTCTGGAAGCATTTTACCTGAGCGAAGGGAAATGATATACTTATATAATTTATCTAGGCCAGGGATAGGCCAGAGATTTTTTGTGCATCCATATGATTTTACAACATTGAAAAAATGAAAGGTGTCAGCCATGGTACTTGCCCCAACCAGCAATCACCCTCGCATGACCCCAAGCTTCGGCCGTCGATGTTCCCCATGGCAAAGTGATGCCAGACTTCTGATCGATCTGTCGGCAAGAACATAATGGAATCTGTGGGACCATGAGCATGTGAAAAGATTGTGGCCATAAAACTCAAACATATGTGATAGCTGATACATTAAATCAATCAAATCACCAGCAAAAACAAGATCCTACCTTCAGGTGCTTGATATCCGATGGCCAAGCAGAGGGGTGTGTAGCCTTATTGATGTAGAACGACTCGCTGTTCAAAATCACACCCACCGATGAACCAATGCTCTTCGGATCTTTGATGGTGAAGGAAAGTCGATCATTGATGTTCGAAGGCATGGGGAGATCAGCCACCTGGTCCTTCAACAACCTCTCCCACCCTTCCTTTGCTTTCACCCTCCGCTTCTCCTTGTCAGACATCTCAGATTGGCCAGTTTCCAAAGGTTCCTGGGCAGGCTTCGACTTTCGAGTTCTCCTTTTAGGTGAAGCCATGGCCTTGGCCTTGGCCTTGCCTTTGGCCTTAGCCACCGGCTTCTCAGCCACTGGCTTCTCAGCCTTCGCCTTTGCACCACCCTTTGGTGGTCCTTTGGGATCGACATCCTTGACCTTTTTCGATGCAGGTCGTTTGGCAACAGTAGCCGGCTCCTGGTCCTCTTTCTTCTGCTTCTTCTGCGTGATCTTCTCGGCCTTCTTATCTTCCTCTGCCTGGCAAGGGTGAAGCTGGCTGGTCATTAGGACCCATGAGCTACCAGGTCAAGTTAAGCACAGGCCCCAGGTGGTTTTGGTGTGATGGATTGGGATGCACACCTCTCGCTTCTTTTTGCGATGCCGGGCTTGTTGTTCAGCCAGGTCAGGAGGTGGATCCTGCAATTGCCATGGTGTTTATCTCATCCATTTTTTAGCTGAAAAAATGAGCACTTGTAAAGAGAACTTACAATGCCATCTCGATACAATACAAAAAGTTAAACTAGCTTCAACTGTACAAACCGACAATGGCGCCTTTGTGTCATCACTGCTGGGTGCTTTGTCTTCCACTTCCGGTTCTGCAGCTACAGCCTTCCCAGCAAACCCGACATGTGGGAGCTGTAAGGGACACTTTGACATGTCAGGCCTTCATTGCACCAGGCCATCTTTCAAAAAACTCTCGAACTCGGATGTGATAGGGAACCCAATGTTGAACGTTGGCATTGTCCGGCCCCTGGCCACATCAAAAGTGTTGCATCATATCATATATAAATTATATAAATTATTTCTTGTTTAAATCAGGCAATGATC